CTGTTTGCAGATGACATGATACTATACATAGAGAATCCTAAAGATGCTGCCAGAAAACTACTAGGGCTAATCAATGCATTTGGTAAAGTAGCAGGACAGAAAATTAATCCACATAAATCTCTGGCATTCCTATACACTAATGATGAAAAATCTGAAAGTGAAATCAAGAAAACACTCCCATTTACCACTGCAACAAAAAGAATACAATATGTAGGAATAAACCTACCTAAGGAGACAAAAGACCTGTATACAAAAAATTATAAGACACTGATGAAAGAAATTAAAGATGATACAAATAGATGGAGAGATATCCCATGCTCTTGGATTGGAAGAATCAACACTGTGAAAATGACTCTACTACCCAAAGCAATCTACAGATTCAATGCAATCCTTATCAAACTACCACTGGCATTTTTCACAGAACTAGAACAAAAAATTTCACAATCTGTATGGAAACACGAAAGACCCCGAATAGCCAAAGCAATCTTGAGAACAAAAAACAGAGCTGCAGGAATCAGGCTCCCTGACTTCAGACTATACTACAAAGGTACAGTAATCAAGACAGTATGGTACTGGCACAAAAACAGAAAGATAGATCAATGGAACAGGATAGAAAACCCAGAGATAGACCCACGCACATATGGTCACCTTAGCTTTGATAAAGGAGGCAGGAATGTACAGTGGAGAAAGGACAGCCTGTTCAATAAGTGGTGCTGGGAAAACTGGACAGGTACATGTAGAAGTATGAGATTAGATCACTCCCTAACACCATACAGAAAAATAAGGTCAAAATGGATTAAAGACCTAAATGTAAGGCCAGAAACTATCAAACTCTTAAGAGGAAAACATAGGCAGGACACGCTATGACATAAATCACAGTAAGATCCTTTTTGACCCACCTCCTAGAGAAATGGAAATAAAAACAAACAAATGGGACCTAATGAAACTTCAAAGCTTTTGCACAGCAAAGGAAACCATAAACAAGACCAAAGACAACCCTCAGAATGAGAAAATATTTGCAAATGAAGCAACGAAGGATTAATCTCCAAAATTTACAAGCAGCTCTTGCAGCTCAATAACAAAAAACACAAAACCCAATCCAAAAATGGGCAGAAGACCTAAATAGACATTTCTCCAAAGAAGATATACAGATTGCCAACAAACACATGAAAGAATGCTCAACATCATTAATCATTAGAGAAATGCAAATCAAAACTACAATGAGATATCATCTCACACCGGTCAGAATGGCCATCATCAAAAAATCTAGAAACAATTAATGCTGGAGGGGGTGTGGAGAATAGGGAACACTCTTGCACTGCTGGTGCGAATGTGAATTGGTACAGCCACTATGGAGAACAGTATGGAGGTTCCTTAAAAAACTACAAATAGAACTACCATATGACCCAGCAATCCCACTACTGGGCATATACCCTGAGAAAACCATAATTCAAAGAGTCATGTACCAAAATGTTCATTGTAGCTCTATTTACAATAGCCAGGAGATGGAAACAACCTAAGTGTCCATCATCGGATGAATGGATAAAGAAGACGTGGCACATATATACAATGGAATATTATTCAGCCATAAAAAGAAACGAAATTGAGCTATTCGTAATGAGGTGGATAGACCTAGAGTCTGTTATACAGAGTGAAGTAAGTCAGAAAGAGAACGACAAATACCGTATGCTAACACATATATATGGAATTTAAGAAAAAAAAATGTCATGAAGAACCTAGGGGTAGGACAGGAATAAAGACACAAACCTACTAGAGAATGGACTTGAGGATATGGTGAGGGGGAAGGGTAAGCTGTGACAAAGCGAGAGAGAGGCATGGACATATATACACTACCAAACGTAAGGTAGATAGCTAGTGGGAAGCAGCCGCATAGCACAGGGAGATCAGCTCGGTGCTTTGTGACCCCCTGGAGGGGTGGGATAGAGTAGGTGGGAGGGAGGGAGATGCAAGAGGGAAGAGATATGGGAACATATGTATATATATAACTGATTCATTTTGTTGTAAAGCAGAAACTAACACACCATTATAAAGCAATTATACTCCAATAAAGATGTTAAAAAAAAAAAAAGATCTTTTCTGACCCACCTCCTAGGGTAATGAAAATTAAAAAATAAGTAAATGAGACATAATTAAACTCAGAAGCTTTTGCATAGCAAAGGAAACCATAAGCAAGACAAAAGGTCAACCCTCAGAATGAGAGAAAATATTTGCAAATGAAGGTACCAACCAGGGATTAACCTCCAAAATATACAAAGAGCTCATGCAGCTCAATATCAAAAAAACCCCAAACAACCCAATTAAAAAATGGGCAGAAGACCTAAATAGTTCTCCAAAGAAGACAGATGGCCAACAAACACGTGAAAAGATGATCAACATCACTAATTTTTAGAGAAATGCAAATCAAAACTATAATGAGGTATTGCCTCACACCGGTCAAAATGGCCATCATCAAGAAGTCTACAAACAATAAATGCTGGAGAGGGTGTGGAGAAAAGGGAACCCTCCTACACTGTTGCTGGGAATGTAAGTTGGTACGGTCACTATAAAGAACAGTATGGAGGTTCCTTAAAAAACTAAATATAGAATTACCATATGATCCAGCAATCCACTCCTGGGCATATATCCAAAGAAAAGCATGATTCGAAAAGATACATACAACCAGTATTCATTGCAATGCTATTTACATGCCAAGACATGAAAGCAACCTAAATTTCCATGGACAGATGAACAGATAAAGAAGATGTGGTATATATATATATATATATACACACAATGACTATTACTCAGCCATAAAAAAAGAATGAAATAATGCCATTTGCATGGATGGACCTAGACATTATCATGCTAAATGAAGTCAGACAAAGACAATATCATATGACGTCACTTATTTGTGAAATGTTAAAAAAAAAAAAGAGACAAATGAACTTATTTGCAAATCAGAAACAGAATCAGACTTTGAAAGCAGACTTGCGGTTGCCAGGTGGGGGAAACGTCCGGGGGAGCGATAAATTAGAAGTTTTGGATTAACATATACACACCACTATATATAAAATAATCACCAGGGACCTACTGTATAGCACAGGGAACTCTGCTCAATATTCTTTAATAACTTAAATGGGAAAAGAATTTGAAGAAGAATAGATACATGTATATGTATAACAGAATCACTTTGCTGTACACCTAAAACTAACACATTGTTAATCAACTATACTCCAAAATAAAATATTAGGAAAAAAAATGTTTTGTTGTTTAAGCTATCCAGTCTATGGTGTTTTTGTTATAGCAGCATGAATGGACTAAGACACCATGTCAGCCCCTTTCTGAACTCTGTGCCTTCATATATGCAATTCTAATTTTCTCAGTCTGTTTTTCTACCCCACCTCCCTTCCCCACCCTGGTTTTTGTTTTGTTTTGTTTTGTTTTTGTTTTGCCTCGAATCTCCTACTCCTTCTTCAAGACCCAGTTTAAATGTTACTTCGAAGGAGAAGTCTTTAGGGGCTTTTTAAAGGTGAAGTTAATTGTTAACAATCTGTTATATGACTACTTTCCCAAATGGATAGTAAGCTACAGGACATCAGGGATACTGTCTTATTAATCTTTGTATTCTTAGCACCTGGATCAGAGTAGAAGCTTAATGAATACTGAATGAGTGGAATAATATCTTAACAGCTTGTTAGAAACAGAGTTTGTCTTCCTAATTAAATACAGCCATTTATAATTTTTTTGTAGTCATAAAATAATACTTAGGAATACTTAGGTTACTCTGACATTTTTAAGGACTGGATAAGTGTTTTTTGGATTAAGTAAGTATCCAAATGATCAACAACACCTTAGAAATGACTTTAAAAATATCTAAGATATCCCATGCTCTTGGATTGGAAGAATTTATATTGTTAAAATGGCCATACTACCCAAAGTGATCTACAGATTTAATGTGATCCATATCAAATTACCCATGACATTTTTCACAGAACCAGAAAAATCCCAAAATTCATATGGAACCATAAAAGACCCAGAATTGCCAATGCAATCCTCAGGAAAAAGAACAAAGCAGGAGGTATAACCCTGCCAGACTTCAGACAATACTACAAAGCTATAGTCATCAAAACAGCATGGTACTGGCACAAAAACAGAAATATGGAACAGAACAGAGAGCCCAGAAATAAACCCACATACCTACGGTCAATTAATCTTTGATAAAGAAGGCAAGAATATACAATGGGAAAAAAACAGTCTCTTCAGCAAATGATGTTGGCAAAGTAGGAGAGCCACATGTAAATCAATGAAATTAGAACACTCCTTCATACCATAGCACCACTATTCACAACAGCCAAGACTAGGAAACAACCTAAATGTCCATTGACAGATGAATGGATAAAGAAGATGTGGTACATATATATAATAGAATACTACTCAGCCATAAAAAAGAACAAAATAATGCCATTTGCAGCAACATGGATGCAATTATGGATTATCATACTAAGTAAGTCAAAAAGAGAAAGATAAATACCATATGATATCACTTATGTGTGGAATCTAAAATATGACACAAATGAATCTGTCTATGAAACAGAAACAGACTCATGAACATAGAGAACAGACTGGTGGTTGCCAAGGGGGAAAGAGTTAGGAGAGAGATGGAGTGGGAGGTTGGGGTTAACAGATGTAAGCTTTTATATGTACAGGGGATAAACAACAAGGTCCTAATGTATAGCATAGAGTACTATACTCAGTATCCTATGATAAACCATAATGGAAAAGAATATTTAAAAAAGAATATATATATATGACTGAATCACTTTGCTGTACAGCAGAAATTACCACAACATTGTAAATCAAGCATATGTCAATAAAAAATATTGATCAGAGTAAATTAAAAAATATCTTTCTATAATTCTTTGAGCATATCAAAATTCTACACTTTATTTTTCCCTAGATAGAACATTTAGAAAGCAATTTATAAAGCAGAAACAACTTACTTTATTTCGATCTTGTACAACCAATATTTTTCTAGTATTTTCATCAAATACAGCTCCTGTTGGGGGGGGGGGGAAGATAATTGAGAAATATGAATTTCATTCACCTCAGACTACTCCCACACTATTACCTGTGGTCATCAAAATCCTACCCATCCCTGAAGGCCTACTTCAAATAACCACCTCATTCATGAAGAGTTGTAAATTTCTCCAGCAAGAAATCAGTTGCTCAGTTATCTAGGTTCTTTTAACAACTTAGGAGTACCAATGATGATTCTAGCATATGCTAACTCGTAGGATAATCATTTGCATCTCCTTCTCTAGATCATCTATTCCTGACAGTATAATCTTTCTATCCTTTTTTAGCGTTTAGTGTCCAATTTTTTTTTAAATTAAGTTTTATTGGAGTATAGTTGTTTTACAATGTTGTGTTAGTTTCTACTGTACAGCAAAATGAATCAGCTATACGTATACATATATCCCCTTTTTTTGGATTTCCTTCCCATTTAGGTCACCACAGAGCACTGAGTAGAGTTCCCTGTGCTATACAGTAGGTTCTCATTAGTTATCTATTTTTATGCTAGTATCAATAGTGGATATGTGTCAGTCCCAATCTCCCAATTCATCCCACCCCCCTCCCCGCTTACTCCTTTGGTGTCTATATGTTTGTTCTCTATGTCTGCGTCTCTATTTCTGTTTTGTAAATAAGATCATCTATTAGTGTCCAATTTTAAATGCCTAAAAAGATTTATTGAGTCAATGAATTGACTTTTCCATTCTCATTTTTATTCCTTGAATCACTATGTATAAGCATGGGTTGTGCTCCCTGATGATCCAAATCTCAAATATCTCAATATTCAGTTCAAGACCTCCTCCTTAAAGCACTTAAATTTCTTTACCATGTTATGTACACAATGTTATAACTTACCAATATATTGCTTTGGAATATTCAAGTTCTAGTCCATTGCTTTCATTTACTCATTCATCATACACATTGCCCAGTGTACTAGGCATTTTACTAGATGTTAGGGACTCAAAAATAAGTTTTTGGTTTTTTTTTTCTCTCTTTGGGTAATCCTAGGTCAAAAATACAAATGACACTAATGATTTGTATTAGGTTCCTTTAAATGCTTTAATTTTAAAATTATTTGTATTTACATAATGTGGGAAGATACTGTTAAAAACATATTTTCTGGGCTTTCCTGGTGGGGCTGTGGTTGGGGGTCCGCCTGACGATGCAGGGGACGCGGGTTCATGCCCCGGTCCGGGAGGATCCCACATGCCGCGGAGTGGCTGGGCCCGTGAGCCATGGCCGCTGGGCCTGCGCGTCTGGAGCCTGTGCTCCGTGGCGGGAGAGGCCACGGCAGTGAGAGGCCCACGTACCGCAAAAAAAACAAAAACAAAAACAAACAACAAACAAACCATATTTTCCACTTATTCATCCATTCTTTTAATATTAACCGAGCTCCTACATATAATATATACAGGTTCTATGTATAGCATATTAATTGAGATCCTATTATGTGTCAGGTACTTTTCTAGGTGCTAGGGATACAGTGGAGAACAAAACAAAATCCCCCATCGTTATGGGGTTCGTGTTCTGGTGTGTGTTTGAGGAGGTGACAAATAAATAAAAAATTAATTACATAGAACATGAGATGGTGATAAATACTATGTAAAGGTAAAATATAGTAGGGAATAGATATGTGCAACACTAGGAAGAACTATGTTCTCTGAAATTAAAACACCACATTTTAGTATTTCAAAGCCAAGAAGGGAAACCACAAAGTGAGATATAATTTAATGTTGGATTCTATTAGAAAATATAAACTGTAATTTAATTGGACTTTACAAGGGATAGAATGCCAGGAAAACCTATTCTTAAATTTTAATAATTTGTGATTGCTCAAATTGAACTTTTTCCTAATTCACTATAAACATGAGCCAAAATCAGCACTGCTAAACACAATGTGAGCGACCCCTGTTGGTCACAACATAAAAGTTAAATAAAGCCAAAGAGATCAGGGATTAAATAGAGGTTATTATTATATTATAATTAGTCAGGTACTGTACTAAGTGCCTTAGGTGCATTATCTCAGCTATTCCTCATAATAATCCTGTGAGTGGTATAATTTTGAGTGCCCAAGTTCACACAGCCCTAAAACTGACATCCTGTCTGGGTCCCAAGCAGGTATTCTTCTCACTGTGCGACACTGCCCCTTCACCACGCTACAACTGCCTTTTCAGAGGGCTGACATTGCCAACTGAAGATCTACCCAACCATTCATTTGAGAAATATTTACTGAGCACCTACTTTACACCAGACACTGTGTTTAGCCTGAGGATAAAATGGTAAACAAGACAGATAAAATACCTGCCTTCGTGGAGTTTATATTATTGTGGGGTCGATTGAGTATATGACATAATTTCAAACTGTGATAAGTACTATAAAGAAAAACACAGGATAAAAGGACAAAGGATGATGGGACTGGCAGGTGGAAGGACTCTATTTTATACAGTAAGGTCAGGAGCTTTCCTGAGGAGATATTTCAGCTCTAAAGAGCTCGATAAACAAAGCCCTGGGGAAGAGCACTGCAGGAAGAGGAGCCAGTAGGTTTAAAGGCTCTGAGGCAGATAAAAGCTTGCTGCATGAAGAACAGAAACAGAGCCATAGCTCACTCCATTCCAGTGTAGGGGAGGAAAGATTTTTTTCTTCTACCCACTTAGGTTCTGCGTCTGGGACCTGTGAGTTGAACTGACAAAGTACAGATAAATGGATAAGAAGTATATAAATTTTATTTGATGTTAATAATTTTACGTGGCCTGAGTAGGGGTGGTGAACTTCATAGAAAGAAGTGAAGATCCCCCCAAAGTGTTAGACCCAGGGGCTTATGTTCCATTTTAAGAAAGAGGGATAAATTGTGCAGAAATGACAAGAGGAAAAGGGGTGTGGGCTAAGGAAGGTAAACTGTGATAAAGTGACTAGGAACTATTTGGGAAACTAACAGAATATAATGGCTGTTTTCACGAGGTTTGCACAGATTCATCTCTGTGCCAACTCCCCGGCTCCAGTGACAAGAATGTTCTCCTCTTCGTGGTAGAAAAGCTCAGAATGATCAACGTGCCAAAGGGGCACTTGGGGTGGCGGGCTGTGACTCCCTTCACCAGCTATGCCTTCTGCAGCTTATAAACAAGTGTCAGCTATTCTCTCTTAACCTAAAAACTCTGTACCTTCCCAGAAGAATTCCTCACACCACCTCCTGATCCCAACAGCCACTTCAAATCCTAGCTGGCCTTCAAGACTCTCATCAAGTTTCCGACCTCTCATTCCCTGAACTCCTGTGGCGTATCTTAACTCTAATATACCATACTGTACTTGGTTATAAACAAGTTCTTCATAGGATACTCTTTACGCATATATTACCAATTCTGTAGTACTAACTGGAAACTCTGCTTTGAAAGTCTGTACCAATGAATTGATAATTATCTTTATGTCTTTCCCATGAAGTGTGAGGCTGCCATCAAATTTTCAAGTGGTCTTTTGAAGTAGAGCTGAATGGGAAGTTGCTGAATTGCCTCTACTTGCTAGAGGGGAGTGAGACCATGGACAGAGAAAACATTAGAAATCCTTGAACAACTCCTTTAAAAGACTTCAAAGATGCAAACTACCTTTAAAAACTCTTGTAAATTATATAAAGGCAAATAATACTATTATTAATAAATTACTAATAATACATATTACTGCTTTATTTCATAGTAAATCATAAGGATTCTTTCCTATTTTTGTTTTTTGGGAAATCTAGTTTTCTTAACCCTGGTTCTCAAAGGATAGTCCTAGGACCAGCATCAACACTAGCAGCTGTAGCAGCAGAGCACTTATTAGAAAAAGCAATTCTCAGGCCCCACCCCAGACCAGATGAATTAGAAACTCTTGGGGCTGGGGCCCAGCAATCTGTTTTAACAAGCCCTCCCGGTGATTCTGATGCACTCTCTACAATGTGAGAACTCCTGTCTTCACCTAAAGCAAGTCTTCTCTCAAGACTGTCTCTGAAGCTAACCAGTGACTTCAAAATTCTGTATTTAAATTATGCTATTTTAAAACAACTGTTTGGCACAATGACTTAATGTAAATGTCTCTAAGAAGTAATGTTCAAATCACTGAAAAACTGGTTTGCTTTGCCTTCAATTCAACTTAAAAGTTATCTTTTATTTTACTAAATCACATAATTAGTACTAATATGTTTTACCATAATGAAATGAATCTATTCCCTGATCCCAATTCATTGTTACTATTTCAGTAGTGAAGTTCACATATCCATGAAAAACATGTTCAAACATATCCTTTGAAAAACTAAACTTGCTTGTTCTCTGTGCTGCCCTCTGCTGATTCATAAGGCAAACTTCATCTATTTAAAGTATCAATACCAGCTGCAGTTCCAAGGAGGACAATCATTTAATCAACTTATTCATTCCACATGAACCAACTACTGGCTCATCTGTAAGAAGAAACTGGGTGAACCTTTAAGAAGTTAATTGTGATCAACATTAGTTTGAAACAGACCTGCAACTCCCACTTGATGTGTACCATATCCTGGTAATCTGCTGGGCCCCTCTCCCAGCCACAGAGACAGCGTGGATGAGTCCGATTCTGCGTGGTGAAAGCAGAAGCCCAGGGAAGCGGCAGGAGCAATAAATCGACTTTGGAGGATGGGAATGTGCAGCCATACTGCTACTCTACCTTCGGATCTCCATTTCTGTATTGCAGCTAAAACACAGAAGATAAACATCTGTAAATATTTTCCAGTGAGAGGAGTGGAATAAAGTAAAACTCATCTCTGGGTGTCACCTCCTCCAGGAAGCCAAGTTTAAGCTCCACTTCCCTTACTAGTTAGCTCTCTTTGGGGGCGGGCGGGTGGCACGGGGGAATCGCAAAACGTACTGTTCACATACACCAGCAGCACGTAAACTACCACGTTTTATTATAATTATATATGATTTTTCCACCAGACTGAATTCCTCGAAAATAAAGTCAATATAGTGATGATCTTTATATATCACCTGACACAATACCTGGCACATAATTGGTGCTCAATAATTGTATTAAAATGAACGAATAAACTAATTTAAATAAAACACCATTTCATTGTTGTTCCTTTTAACAATCTTGGTTTTCATCTTTATAAATGACTATTATGGGCTTTTATTTACTCTTCCTTTAAAAGTCCTGTCTCTCATATATATATATGTGTGTGTGTGTGTATATATATATATATACACACACACACACATATATATATTTTTGGTTTATACGTTTCAAGGTGAAAAATATAACTTTGTTGTTAAATAATGTATGGTAGTTCTAGAAAATTTTCAAAATAAAGTACAATGAAGAAATCAAAACTTCACATTAGCACACAGATAAATTTAAAATCGACATTTTTTGCATGAATATAATTTTGGAATTGACATACCATATATAATTTACAATATTTTTTTACTACATATTATAAATGTTTTGCTATGCCATTAAAATTCTTTAACGAACACACATTTTTAATGACTATAATTCTCCTCATATAGGTCTACCATAAACTACTTAACTGACCTCCTACTTTTGGACATTTAGATTGTTTCTAACTTTCCTTTATTACAAATTATACCATGACAAACATTAAAATAGATTTTCGGTCTTTGACTTTAAATGCTTACTTTATTACTTGAGATTGAGCCAGGGAAAAAAGATGCTAACATTTATATGGCCCTTACTAAACTCCAGACATTTTAGATACACTGTTTCATTAAGTTCTCACAACACAAAAGGCAGGTATTATCACCCCTAATTTATAGGTGAAGAAATGAATACTTCCACAGTTTTAGAAAAACTTTTCAGATCACTTTCTCCATCCACCATCGCGATCTTTACAACAATCCTGTAAAGTGTGTGTGGAGAGAGGGGGAAGACTTGATTATTTGTTTAATGGTTAGATTCCTTTCCCTCCTCTTCTATGGCCTCTGCAGTAAGCATCTCCTGGTTAAGGACCATCTTGCTCTACCTTTTTGAAGTCAGTGTGCCTAACACAGTGACAGACAATGTGGGAGCCTTAATTTAAGGTACCTTTTGATTTGGGGCTGTGGCGCCCCTTCAGATCCTTCTCACATCAATCCTTCTCTGATTAAATCTTTTTAAAAACTGACAGAATTACATAAAGTGAAATGCACAAACCTTAAGTGAACATTTGGTGAGTTTTGACCTATGCATACATCTGTGCCACCCATGCTCCAGTCAAGATTACAGAACATTTCTATCACCCCAGAAAGTTCCCGTGTCCTCCTTCCCAATCATTCCAATCAAAAGAAAAAGCTGAAGTTCTACAAGTATAGTCACTTGTTTCCTATTTTTTCTCTTTACACTCTGGCTTGGAGAATCTGTCCACTGCTACTGCTTCAGCTAACAACTACGCAAGGGTGGCTGCCTAGTCCTGGCCTCACTGAACACTGAATTTTTCTGCTCTTCAGCTGCTCGCATCTTCTGAAGGCTGCTGCCTCAAACTTCACACCTATATTCAAAACTGATTCCTACACCAGCCACCTTAGTTTTGCTTACAGGCATTTTTCTGGCTCCAATGCTCAAAGCCTAAGAATCCTTTTTAAAATGCTTTCTTTCTTCTCTGTTTCACTAATAAACTTTAATGCTTCTTCCTCCTCTTTCCCTCATTCCTCTGCTCAGGTCCAGCCCTCAAAGTGAGCTCACATATCACCTTTGACAATAAGCTTTCCTCACGTGCTTTCCAAATGTGAACGTAAGGACTACTTTCTAGTAGATTTACTAGAACTTACTACACATTGCCCGATGACACCTGTTACTGTCTGTTTTTCTAATCCTAATTAATATTTTGTGCATTTGCAATCATCCAGGTTAACATGAGATTATGCACTGGGGCTCAATTCCTATTCAATGACTGGCTTGTCTAAAGTCACACAGCTAGTGAGCGGCACAGCAAAAACCAGACAAGTGTTATTTCCCCACTGATGCAGATATATGTGAAGCTTAGCAACATGTTACCTCTTCATCCATCTAACTTTAGTTATCAATAACGGGAACAGTAAAAGAATAGACCTCACGTGCAAAGGTGCAAAACAACTATTGCTAATACATTATAGGCAATCAGTTCTATTTACTTGAAAAGAAAGAATACATTTAGACTTCCTACCAGGCTTTCTTCTCAGATAATTTTAAGATTCTTTTTATAGGCAATACCATTCACTTTTGTTTGGCTCAATAACAAAAAACCCAGCAATAGCTCTTATAGTGCAGCCAAGAACAAATTCTAGAGCCAGGGGAAGTTAATCTGTCTCTTAGTACCATCATCTTTGAAATGGGGATAATAATAGTACCTACCTCACAGGTATGAGGATTAAATGAATCAATACTTTCGAAGTTCTTAAAACAGTGTCTAGCACTTAGTAAGTACAAAAGAATTTATTAAAAAGATACAAAAGAATATGGTACTTCAGAGTTTATAAATTAGTTTCATGTAATTTATCTTTGATTACCACATCTATCCAGTAAAGTAGTTAGAGTGGGCATTATTCACATGAGCAACCTAAGAGGCAAATATTTTCACTGGTGATTTTCCTAATGCCTCGTTAAGCATGTGGCAAAACCTGGGACTTGAAACCTGGATGTGTGACTCCAAATCCAACCCACTTTCTGCTTTGCCTTCCTGACTGCGGTAGTGCTTTAATCACTGACAAGTAACAAGTGCATACAATAAATACCTGTGTCTACCCACACAAACGTGCACATATTAGAGGATGAACATTTGATTCTCGTAGTGTTAACACTGTTGCAGTTAGCAGCTGTTCCCAAGGAGGAGAGAAAACAAGGTGAAGAGGTAAACAGTTTAGAACTGAGGATGGTTGAAGATGAAAACGACTAGCTCAGTTATATTTCCATAGATGCTCACTTGCCATATTGCTCCATAGGATAAAGATTACTTTCAGTTTCCTCTAAGTGTGAGAGGATGAGTTTCCATGCTATGCTTTCAAGTTGATTGTAAGGGCCCTGAGGGGCAGTGTGAAAAACAGGCTGTTCCGCCACATCACGGGCTCTCAAAGTGAAGGCTCCTCCATCCAAGCTATCTTTCTCATCACTGGCCTCAAGGTTCAAAGAGAGTGGCGAGTTTTCCCACTGGAGACTGAAACCACTCACCAATCTCCCCGGTGAATCACAAAAGGCTTGTTACTAAGGAAAAGCATACTCTAGTTCTCGGCGCCACAGCTCCTGACCCAACTTGTGCACAAATACGACCACTCAGAACCTCTCTGGCCCACTCACGGTCCACCACCTGTACTAGAAAGTGCTACGGTTCTGCCTTGGGTAAACTGTCCGGCGAAACGAAGGGTCGGTAAGTGATCGTAAACGAGAGCGTAATAGTATCAACAAACATTTACAGAGCGTTAAATACGTGGCAGATACCGTGCGAGGCACTTCATATGCATTATGCAATTTATCTCTCAGCCATCCCATGAGCTCCTATTACCTGGTTTTACAGATGAGAAAACGGTGGTTTACAGAACTTGCCCAAGGTCACACACTAGAAAGATGACCAGAAACAAGGGCTGCCGATCCCAAAGTCTGAGCTCGTCACCATTTCACCCAACCGCCTCAGAGACCTCCCAGCCAAGGGCACAAGAACGAAAGGCAGAAAACGGCTGCGGGTCACGCACGCCCTCTCTCCTTCCCTCTGGCGCGACTCGGGATTGGGGGCCGCGGTTACTTCCTTAGAAAGGCAGGGGAGCCTCGGACCAGGCGCACTTGCCCTGCAAAGCCCTCTGGAAGGCAACCGGGTCCAAGCGGTGCATTGCGTCCAGTCGCGCCAGGCGCACGGAGACGCCCCCGAATCTGTCAAGCTCGCCCCGCAGCTCGCCGGCTCCAGAGGTGGCGTCCCGAGCGCAACCCGGGCCGCCCGAGGCCCCACGGGGCCCTGCAAAGAGCACTGCGCGGCGGACCCGCGCCAACACCGCACGCCAGCGACCCCCTCTCAGTAGCTGCGGCATCTCCGCACCAGCCCTCGTGGCCCACGCGGACGCTTCCAAATCACGCGGCCAGGGAGTGACGGCGCTACCGTAAGTTTTAGAAGAGTGTCACTCACGCATTCTCAGAGTTGAGCAGGGGTCTGCAGCGCTAGGTAGAGGAGACGGCGAAGTCTGGTCGACCGGCTCCTCTCAAGAATTTGCCCAGCTCAAGGAAAGCGACAGAAACTTTCCCACCACTCCCCTTCCCTCCCCTGTTCCCCCCACCCCCACCTCAGTTTAATTCAACAGACATTTTGTTCAGGGATAGAGAAGGAGGCGGAGATACGAAAAAGTCCTGTTTTTCAGGAATTTATAATCTGAATGAGGGTTCCGTCCACCTAATCCGTCTTCTGTGGCGAAAGTCAGAACGTCTTCCACATCTTCAACGACAGCGGATTCTGAAGACGCTGTTCTCCCACTCTTGCTGCGCTCCACTCAGGGGATTACGGCGCGGGACGGAGCCTCGCTGGTTTCTGCCCCGGAAGTTTTTCTCTCAGCGAAGCGCGCACGTTGAGCCGGCTTTGCCGCTGCTTCTCTCGGGCTGCCTTCCGATCATGTCGTCCAAGAAGAACAGAAAACGTTTGAACCAAAGCGCCGGGAATGGTTCGCCCTCGGCCTCCGCTGCTTCCTTTTCTGCCGGGGCCACAGCTTCTGCCGTGGCGGCCGGGACTCTGGTGGTGATCAACTTCTTAGAAAAGGGTAAAGAGTTCTGAGAGGGAGACCCGAGGCCGAGGGGGCGCCGCCCGAGAGGACGAAAACCTAGCGATTCTGCCTTGAGGTGTAAAGGTTTTTAAAAAGTTGGGTGAGGCAGAGGTGTGCGAGAGGCACAGAAGTATGTAAGACACTCGAAGCCGCGCCTGCACTAGAGAAGTTGGGCAGAAATGACTTAGTGGCTAAGTCAAGCTCTATTGTAAATTGCTTTGAATTTCTAAATTGCGCTTGAAACGGTTTTGCCTTATTTAAGATTAACGGCGTATTTAACTGCGAAGTCGCTCGTCTCTAGCGAGAGTAGTATACCTATACTAAAAAACTGAAAGCCCAGTTCAGTACCGCTGTCGGTATTGTCCTTCCTAAGAGACGTTAATGTGCTTTTAAAACTGAAAGGTGGCTTTTTTCCTACTACACGGGTTCTGGTATTTAATTAAACAGCTGTTAAGTGCGCACGGGTGCTATCAGGAGCTTGGGTATTTCACGTATGTATCTCATTTATTCTGCGCAGAGCTTTGGGAGATGGGTACTGTATTATTATGCTCATTTTACAGAGAAAGAAAAGTTAACGCTATTCCCCCCCACCCTTCCCCCCAGGTTACACAGGTCCTAACTAAATGGCAGAGGCTTTTTTTGAGTCCAGATGTATTTGATTCTAAAGCCATGGACCTAGATCACAGCAACCTTGACTTGGGAGAACGGATTTAAGTGAAAAGCATTGAGTTGGTAAAGCTTTTAGCAGGCGTGATGTTTTGTAGCTTTGAAAAAGGGATCAGATTAACCTAGTGGCAAGATTTTTATTTATGTCTAGTGCAGACCCTAAAGACAATCTTCCAGTTAACATAGTATTTTCAGGCTTTTTGGGGATCGGAGGACAACTTGTTCTGTTGGGCATATTCAGTCTCTTTTTCAACTGGATCCTTCCCATTGACATTTAAACCTACTGATTTCTCTTTCACTTTTTTTTTTTTTTTTTTTTTTTTTGCGGTGCGCGGGCCTCTCACTGTTGTGGCCTCTCCCGTTGCGGAGCACAGGCTCCAGACGCGCAGGCTCAGCGGCCAGGGCTCACAGGCCTAGCCGCTCCGCGGCATGTGGGATCTTCCCGGACCGGGGCACGAACCCGTGTCCGCTGCATCGGCAGGCGGACTCTCAACCACTGCGCCACCAGGGAAGCCCCTTCTCTTTCATCTTTAAACAAAAGCTCCACACTTCTTATCACCACCCTCCACTGCAAGACTTCTTAAAAGGAGGGGTCCCTGCCTCCTCATCTCTCACTTACTCCATAGCCTATTCCTATTTGACATCCACCTCATTATTCCATGGAAACAGCCTGTACCCTGGTCACTGATGATCTCCACGTTGGTAAATCCAATGGATGGTTTTTCATTACTTACTTTACTTGACCCCTCAGCAGCTTTTGGTATTGTCAGCCATTTCTATCTTCTTGAAACACTTTATTTCTTGACTTATGTGTCATCAAAATCAACGAGTTTTTCTCCTTCCTTTGGTTGGTACTTCATCAGTTCCCTTTGCAGGCTCACCCTCTTCCACCTAACCATCAGATGTAGAAGTTCCTTATTTCTTAGTCCTAAACCCTCTTTTTCTCTCTATAAATCTTCTTTCTTTGGCAAGTTCATCCAGTGTCCAGCGTTTCCTTCCCATTTACCCTTATTATTTTCAGATTTGTATTTGTAATTTAGATTGTTCTGAGTCTTGATTTAATTGTCTTCTAGATCAATGCTTCTCAAACTCCATAGGGAAGGTTTAAAAATTTACAACACATCACAGATCAGCACTGTTGTAAAATATGATAAAAGTAAATTATTGGAAAAATAAGTTAAAAAAGAAATTTTTATTAGATTCAACAGATGTAAAATTACTCTGTCAAATTGCAATAAAAGCTTCTAAATGCATATTCTCATTTTTTCTACTTACTTCATCATGAACAGTATCAGATAGTTTGTGGACCACACTTTTTTTTTTTAATTGAAATATAGTTGACGAACAGTATTAGTTTCAGGTGTAAGTCATAGTGATTCACTTTTAAATACATTAGGAAATGATCACCTTGATAAAGTCTAGTAACCAACCGTCTGTCAGCATCCACAGTTATTTCAGTATTGACTATATTCCTTATGCTGTACATTACTTCTCTGTGACTTATTTACTTTATAACTGGAAGTTTGTACCTCTTAATCGCCTTCCCCTGTGTGCCTAGCCCCCTCACCCTCCTCCTATCTAGCAAATATCCCTTTGTTCTTTGTATCTATGAGTCTGTTTCTGTTTGTTTTGTTTTTTAGATTCCACATATAAGTGAAATCATCTGATCCTCATCTTTCTCTGACTTATTTCACTTGGCATAATACCCTCTAGATCCATCCGTGTTGTTGCAAATGGGAAGATTTCATTCTTTTTTATGTCTGAGTAATATTTCATTGTAATATATATGTATAAAAGTTATTTATGTATTTTGGATATTAACCCCTTATCAGATATATCATTTGCAGATATATTCTCTCATTCAGTAGGCTGTCTTTTTGTTTCGTTGATGGTTTCCTTCATTGTGCAAAAGCTTTTTAGTTTGATGTAGTCTCATTTATTTTTGCTTTTGTTGCCCTTGCCTCAGGAGACAGATCGAAAAAATACTGCTAAGACCAACTTCAAAGAGTTTACTGTATATATTTTTTCTAGGAGTTTTATGGTTTCAGGTCTTATATTTAAAGTCTTTAATCCATTTTGAGTTTATTTTGTACATGGTGTAAGAAAGTGATCCAGTTTGATTCTTTTGCATGTAGCTGTCCAGTTTTCCCAACACCATTTATTGAAGAGGCTCTCTTTTGCCCATTATATATTCTTACCTCTTTTGTCATCAATTAATTTCCCCTATAGGTGTGATTCATTTCTGAGCTCTCTATTCTGTTCCATTGATCTATGTGTCTTTTTTTGTGCCAGTACCATACTGTTCTAATTACTATAACTTTGCAGTATAGTTTGAAATCAGGGAGCATGCTACCTCCATTTTTGTTCTTTCTCAAGATTGCTGTGGCTATTCCAGTTCCATATGGATTTTAGGATCATTAGTTCTAGTTCTGTGGGAAATGCCATTAGTATTTTGATAGGGATTGCATTGAATCTGTAGATTGCTTTAGGTGGTAGTATAGACATTTGAACAATATTGATTCTTCCAATCTGTGAGCACAGTATATCTTTCCATTTATTTGTGTCTTCAGTTTCTTTCATCAGAGTCTTATAGTTTTCTGAGTACAAGTCTTTCACCCTCTTGGTTAAATTTATTGGATGCAGTTGTAAATGGGATTGTTTTCTTAATTTGTGGTCCATACTTTGAATATAGCACTGTGCTATACCTCTTCTTTTGGACTTTTCAAAGATACTTCAGGACTGACTTCCTGAAGTCAGATTTCCTCCAACAAAACAAATGAGCTCTGTTCAGTCTTTATCATTGTAGAATTCAGAAATCTAAGATTCCTTCATGACACCGCTCTCTTACATCTCACATTATCCAGTCCACCACCACGTCCTGTTTACTAAGTATTTCCCATGTTCCACTTCTGCACTCCCTTCCCACTGCTTCAACCTTAATCTCAGACACCATACTCTCTCACCTGGACTACTACACTAGCTGCTCTCTTCCAATTCCTTTTCCACTCTGCAGACAGAATGATCTTTTAAAATAAAAATCCTGTCACGACCCTGCTTGTCACCACTAACTGGCCTCCAATTACTGTCAGATTAAAGACAAGGAGCTTGATAAATCCCACTGCCCTGGGTGGTCTTGACCTTCCTTATGTGGTTCCTTGTTTCCCACCACTCTGCCTGTACTTTTTCCCTCAGATGGACAATGCTGTCTTTTGTCAAGGATGTCTGTACAAGCTCTTCTTTTTGCTGAGAATTGTCTTCCCCCTCCCCCTCTTCATTTAGTTAATTTTATTCTTCCTTCAGACCTGAATTTAAATATTCTTGGAGAAGCATTCTCTGATTCTTCCAAATTAGATCTGATCCTGCATTATAGCCTCTCTTAGGACTCTTAGTTTTTCTTTCATTGCATTAATCTTAGTTTAGAATTGTACAGTTATTTAGTGATTGTTTAATAACTCTCATTCTATTAAGTTATAAACTCCATGAGGCCAAGGACTGTGTCTGTTTTTGTTCACCTTATTTCCCCAGTACCTAGTGTAGTATCCTGCCATATAGTGGGCACATGGTAAATATTTGCTGAATGAACAAATGAAGGGTGGGTGGTTGTTTGAAATTACCTTTACTGTCTCATTAGTTAATCTGGCACATAAGGTGCTCAGTAAGTGTGAAGTTAATTAATAGGAAGTAGATGTAGAGATATATTTTTAAAGTATTGAAGGAGTGAGGACTGGTGAAAATTGTGCGGGGGATAGCTTACATAGATTTGGATGCTGTAAGCAGAGAATACAATGGAAATGTGTTAGGAAGTAAAGCCAACAGATGGGAATTTGAACATGATCTCCATTGCTGATAGGGAGGAAATGGAGGTAGAGAAGTGTGTGATGTTTCAAATCTTGGTGCAGGATAGGATGGAGGGAAGAGAGGAAGAAAACTTAGAATCTTGTCAGGGACTGAGTACCCCCCTCAAGGTAATTATCAAGAGGGAAGGGTAATTCATTGAGGTTTCCTTTATTAGGAAGAAAGAAGTGGCAGAAACTGAACATTACGAGGTTATCTAACAGGACGCTTTGCTCTTATTCCTGGGTAAACTGTGTAAGAGACCTGGTGCTCATAGGAAAGTTGAATTTCTTTTCAGCCTGTCATATTTTAAAAAATGCTTATTTTATGCTCAGTTCTGTTAATCTTAGCCCTGGGAGATGCTTTGTTTTTCTAGATTTGTTCATCTGATGACAGAGGGAAAATAAATGTGTTGGGGAAGTTACTTCGCAGTGGCAGAGAATGATGTAAATCAGACATACCTCATGGTTTTGCTTTTGTTGACTTAGTTCCTTTTTAATTACAAAAGATCTGTTTTTCTGATTATGAAAGAACACTAATACTAGTCAGAGCTCTGTGATTATGATATATGTGACTGTAAGTTTTATAATAAAGTTTATGTGAGAGGCATCATAAGCGTTACATGGATTTTGTGCTGAAAAGAAAAATATTGTATACTCATCTACTACATTCATTCATTTCATGCATATTTGTTATGCATCTGCTATATTTGATGCACTCCTAGGCGCTGGAGTTACAAAGATGAATATGACCCATTTCCTGTTACAAAGCAGTATGTTGTTAAAGGAAAGTCAGATTGTAAAATAAATGAATATTGTGATAACTGCTAGTATCTGGCAACATAGGGTGCTGGGAGCATCAGAGGAGGGACAGCTAACCAAATGTGGAGCTTGAGGGAGTGTGTGGGCAGGGGTGGAGATGTTAGCATATCATTTTCAGAGGTTTTGAAACTGGACTGAATTCTGGGCCCCTTCTTTGGCCAAAAGTTGAAAGCTCTAATGGTCATTTGAGTCGGTGTGTGTTCGCCTAAGGAGTAAGACTTGTGTTATTGTTATCCATGTGTTCCTGGGAATAGAAAGGAAGAATGTCTGGTTGCTATCCTGTGGGTGAGAAGTGGAAACATAACTTAATCCTCCAGAGCCAGATGATGTGTCATTTCCCCAGTTCAAGCCTTTGAGTACTAGTAGCCAACTCAACTTAGAATCTGTAATATGGAAAGTTCAGAATGCAAGTATGAAAAGCCCTACTGCAAGTATGTTCAGTTAGTAATGAAATTAGAGATTTTTTTTTTTCAATAATGAAAACCAATACCTCCCCCATAAAACATCCTTTTTTAGTTAGCAGTCATATTGTCAGTAGATCCTCACAAAGGTTTGGTTTTAAGTCTGATTGCTAAAATAAGGAGGGTTGGGACAGTAGTCTCTCCAGGGTTTGTTAAGTGCATTCGTATGGTCATGTGGATAAAGGATTTTTATTTACTCCAAAAGAAAGCATGCTTTAACTTCAGTTACAAATAGTGCAAAAATAATTTTCTTTTCCTTCTTGGTAGACGACAAAGTTCCTAAAGCATTCCAGAATTCCCTTGTTCAACTTGGACTCAACACCATGAAGTCTGCAAACATATGTATTGGTCGACCAGTGTTACTTACCAGTTTGGATGGAAAGCAAGAGGTGAGAGTCCTTTTCATTTCCTTACTTTAGAAATATTTCAGATGTTTTTGATTTTAATTTTCAACACAAGCAGTAATAAATGAAAAGCTGTATCTTACAAGACCCTCACATCTATGTAAACTTTTCCTTCCTTTGATACCCTCTGAGTTGTAGGCCCTAAGTGCCCTGATATAGAAAGAAGCCTTTCCTCCAGAGGTAGTGACACACTACCAGCCCTATTTCTCCCGGTCTGTTAGTTGTATTTCTTCACAGAAATGTTATTTTGGGTCATCTGTTTTGTATGTAAATATTTGATTACCCTCCGTTTGTCCTGGCTACCATTCATCATACCTGAGACTCTAAGTCCAGAACCTTTCCTGGGTCATTTTGGCAGCTTAGCTTTCTTCCTCTGACTCTGCCATGTCTTCTGCTGCTGCTTCATCAGTCAATATTCTCTCATCCAGTGGGGTCCTCTCAAAATGTTTTGCAGTCTTATATCTGCTGATGGCTTGCCTCCCATTCCTTTCATTGTTCTGGGCTTATACTGTAAAACATCCTTTACTGTGTTTTGTGGAAGAGAAGACTATAAATGTGTGAGCTCAGCCTGTTATCCGGAGCTAGAAATCTTTGAGTTTCTCCCTTACCATTTAAGTCGGTTGAGAACCAGGTTCCCATGGAGCTCTTGTACTGGGTCACTCGCTGTTTCCTAGATGTAGTTTATGCTCCAGACTGAACTACCTTACAGTTAGCTTGCCTTCAGTATTTTTTCTCATTTTTCTCTTATCACCTGTTAATGCCTTTGTCTCTTTTCTTAAATCCACCTTTCAGCTCTTCCACCATTTTCACTGTGGTATTATTCCTAATCTTCACAAAAGAGATGTAATATTTATAAAAAAAATAGTTTTTTTGTAACTGATGTCAAATCATAACTCCTTTGGGGTATGGACTGTGTTTTGCAGATCCATGTACTTGACTGTGCTTAGTTTTCTTCCTTATAAATGAATGATATTCTACAAATATTTATTATATTTTTGTTTCCTATGTTCTGGGCAGGTCTATACGGCCTGGCCTGTGGCAGGATTTCCTGGAGGCAAGGTTGGCCTGAGTGAAATGGCACAGAAGAATGTGGGTGTGAGGGTTGGTGATGCCATCCACGTCCAGCCTGTTTTGGGTGCTGTGCTGCAGGCTGAGGAAATGGACGTGGCACTCAGGTTTGGCTCTTTTCTTTGGTGACTGTCTGGATCAGTGCTGCCCAAATGAGTCACAAATGTGAACCACACATGTAATTTTTCATTTTCTAGTAGCCACATTTAAAAAGTGAAGAGAAAGAGAAAGTAATTGTAATGGTATGTTTTATTTAACCAGTATATGTAAAGTCTTATTTGAATTTATAATAACTACAAAAAACTATTAACAAGATTTTTCATTCTGTTTTTCAAACTGAGTCTTCAAAATCCAGTGTGTTATGTTACACTTGTAGTATATCTCAATTTAGGCTAGCCACATTTTTAGCACTTGATAGCCACATGTGGTGAGTGGCTAGTGGCCTACTGTGTCAGACAGCACAAGCTAGATGGATGCTATGTGATTTATGGACTATGGACTCTCTAATGTCCCGTGACTAGAATATGCCCTGACATTTCAGGTGAGAGGAATTGTTGTTGATGGATATTTAACAGTTTTTTTTTTTGTCTTGGTTTGCTTCTTGTCTTTTTTACAGTCGTAAAGACAGGAATAGATTACTGTGATTTGGCAAGAAACAAGTTTTAATTAAGACTGCTCAAGCGAAGTGTACCTGATTCTGTATTTTAACTCATTGATTATTCGGTCAAATAAAACAATTATATCTATCCAATTTTTAAATAGTCCCCCACGAAAGATGACAAATATGGTTAAAGTATATCACCCATCCTCTTGAATGTTCTGTATCTAATAGGATTTTTACTCAGTTTGCATATCCAAGTCTTATCAAAATTTGTTTTAAAAAAAAAAATCTTGGGCTTCCCTGGTGGCGCAGTGGTTGAGAGTCCGCCTGCCGATGCAGGGGACACGGGTTCGTGACCCGGTCTGGGAAGATCCCACATGCCGCGGAGTGGCCAGGCCCGTGAGCCATGGCCGCTGAGCCTGCACGTCCGGAGCCTGTGCTCCGCAACGGGAGAGGCCACAACAGTGAGAGGCGTACCACAAAAAATAAAAAAATCTTTTAATACTTTAATATCATGTTTGTAAAAACTTGGGGAATTTTATATGCCAGAATCACAAAACATTTTTCAGTCATTAGCTTGATTTTGAAAAGTTTTCTTCACTTTTCTACTTTTGTAGATTCCAAGCTTAAGCTTTGGTGTATTTTTTTCTTTTAAAAACAGGAAAATGTCTTCAGTGCATTGAATAACAGTTTAACAAGCAACAAAATAAAAAGCCAGAAAGGAAAAGAGAACATATGTTGAGCGTCAGCTGTGTACTAGCACACACACCCACACTTTCCTCTTTTTCTTCTCTCATTTAGTCCTCTAAACATCCAGCAAGGTATCCATATTTATCCCTCTTTACAGATGAGGAAATGGGCTCAGTGAGGAGAAGTAACTTGCCCATTATTTTATGGTAATTTTTTAGTTAATTCAGGTTCAACAGGATTAATCTTCATACTGTTTTAAAACAGTGCTTTAGGTAGCAGTAATCAGTTGATTGGGTTTTTGATGATTACTAACAAATGTGACCTCTTGAGGGCGCAGCAGTTTTAGGTGATAATGATTACCTACTATAGAGGGACTGTATATGTTTTAAATGGAAACTTGGTTTTTTATTTTAAAGAACCTTATGTTTTAAACATGGCAGAAGAACTTAGACAAGAAACTTAATTTCCAATAAGAAGAATCAGTTATTTTAGTCTGCTGTTTAAATCCTTCAGTTGTATCTGAAAAAGTTTATTATCAATATTAATGTTAGAGCTCCTTCTAGTGGAAATGATTTTATCTGTGCTTTTTTAAAAGCAAAACTGATCGTTTTACATATTTTGCATATTTGCAAATATCTTCTCTTCAAAGTTTAATAAATAAAAACAATTTAAGTAGTTTCAGAGTTCTTTAAACAAGTAAATTTAAGTATTTAAGGAAATATGTACAATCTTCTCTTTAGTTTATACACGCAGTTGATTCATGAAATTTTCTCCTTGTTTTTCTCTCTCTCTTTTATATGAATACACAGTTGGTTCTCATTATTGGTGGTAGTTGTGTTCCATGACGTTGCGACAAATACTGAATTAGCGAATACTGAACTGTTGCTCCTAGGGAGGGGGTGTGTGTGTGTGTGTGTGTGTGTGTGTGTGTGTGTGTGTGTGTGTG